GCTTCTTTCGGTTTGGCTGTGGTGTTTCGAGTGGGGGTGAGGCATCTGCAAGTAGGGTGACACCTTCACGTTCTTTGTGACATGTCAGTCTTGGTCTGAGAAGCGATTCAGAAGCAGTCGCGGTTTCTGCCGGCTCGTTTTCTGTCCCCGGGTCAGCCTGCAGCTTAAACGCTTCCTGTCTGCGCTGTCACGGCGTAGTGCGAGGACTTGGACAGCCCACGTATTGTTTTCTAGCTTCTGTCGCTTTCACGATCGATCGTATCTGGAAGTCCTAGTAAAATAGAAGTACAATTCCAGCAACAGTATGTTCTTGCTGTTCCGGTGTTAGCGTTGAAATTCCAGGTACGGACAGCGGCTTTTTTTTTTTTTTTGCGTTAAAAGTGCTCGGCTATCCTTCCACCTGTGGGAAGTTGCCTACCCTGAAGTTGAATACAAGGTTTTGTTTGGTAGCCGCCTGGGAGGGGGTGTAACGCGGACTCTGCTAATTAGAATGAGAATGTGGACTAGAGTGACAAGTATCCTGTCCAAATTACAATTAGATTAAGAGCCGTGATAGCCTCTTTGAAACAATACACATTTACAACCGTTTCTGTGTATTCCTTCTGAAACAGACCTTCTCACTTCTACATCCCGCTATTTGGGGCTCTTTTTTTCTTCACTCGTTACAATGACACCTGTGTCTTGGTGCACTAAGTTCTGTGATGAAGCCGATTTAAGAACTTTCTGGATGGTTCTTTTGCACTACAGCTCTCTTCCTTTGGTGGTTCTCTTTTGTTTTCATTGTAACTGTACTGTGATTGGAGCCACTGAGATGATGATGCTTTTTAAAATACTGTCTGTATATTTAACCTGGACTATTTCAGTGATCATATTCCCCTAATTTGGAGGAGTGAGAGAACATTCTGTAGAACGAAATGGAAGGGATGGGGTGAGAAGCTTTTCTAAAGTGAAGACTTTTTCTGGCATGTAACTTAGAATTAATGTTACTTGCATACTCTCTAGAAAGCTCTTGAGACACAGATCAGAGCTTCAAGTATAGTTTTAAAGTAGTTCCAATTCAGGGAAGCCCATGTCACCATCTTATTCTAGTGTCTTGTGTGTTTTCGAAGAGATCATTAGCGATAAGGTTTGTTGCAGTCTAAAAGACAGTTCTGTAGGCCCTCTGTCATGCTTGTGTGGTCTATGCCTGTAACAGGTGTTCTGTATGCTTATGTGGGGATGCTGAGAAATAACTGGAAAAAATGACTTAGTCATGCATGAATTCAAATGCAGCAATTCTGTGTACTGGTTTAAAAGGCAAAATGGCCTTAATGGCTTTACTCTTTTGAATAAGTGTACTCGTAATGAATTCTTGCACTTTAACTAACAAAAGGCTTTGCATTCCCTTTCATATACTGTTTAACTCCTGGCAATTTTACTTTTTATTAGGAGGTGCTGATTTGAGATCTTGTCTCTAGTCTTCCTTGAGAAGACTTTCTGCAACAATGTAACTTCTGTAGTAAATAGGTAGGAAAGCCTTAACATCAAGCATTTGCCAAGTGTGTCAAATGTGATAACTTTGTGCAAAGAGCAGTAAAATTACAAGTCTCATATGATAGTATTCTTGCTTACCGGCTTTTATAAGTAACTTCACTTACATACTACTTTATCAAGCGTCCCTTTCTTTGTATAAGTTTGGGGGAGGTTCTGCTCGCTGTTCTTGTTTCAGTAGGTGTATTAGATACATAACTGTCTGATGAATAATCAGACTGTTTCTCTTTTCCGTAGTGGAGATTACCTATCACTTCGTTTAAAGGTAGCATAGCAGTCTAATAGTGATTTAAGCTAAGTTACCATCCACTCTTTGCCTGTTAGAGCTTTTTACCTCCTTTAAAAAAAAAAAATATATGTCTTGGCACTTGTAGAAGTGCTTGAATAATTTTTTGCTGATCAGCAGAATTTGAGGTGGACTCCTATTAGTTTTGTGCCAAAAGATGCAAAGGTTTAGTTTGATGCTGTGTAATACTAGCAAATTTCAAGTTAATTGGAGGTTCTGAGTATTGTCTTAGTGGCAAGACAATACAGACAGGCAAGAAACCTCTTAATTCCCTGAGGGGAGAGGAAGAACATTCATATTTACTTTTACGCAGAAACTTTTGCAGAGAAGCAATTCCAACTCTAACATCTCTTTCCAGCTCTGTTGGATATCTTGGCACTTCCAATTCTAAACCATTTGTGCGGCTTTTTGACAAAATAGTCACAGGAGAGTTGTCAAGTTGATAGTCTCTCCTTATATCCGTCCTCTACCAGCTTCTTTCTGCGTAAAACATCTGGAGGTGGACTATGATAATCTTTTTTTATTTCACTTCCTCACTGAAGTCCTTTGAGACTTATCCTGGATATGTAAGGGTACAGTTTGACAGCTGACTCTCAGTGGCAGTACTGTCTTAAAAGCAGTTGCTATCCCTTCAGTTATACCAACAAGCTGAAAACAAGAATGGAGAGTTGAGGGTGTCAAATCTGATTTAGATTACTGTGTGCTTTGACTGCTAGTTGTGCTGGCACAGTGTGGGATAGGATGAAAAGACTGTACTGCTAATGGAAAGCTTTCCCAAAAGGTGCAGTCTTATGAGCATTTTGTTGGCAACTGTGTTTGCTTAAATAGTCTTTCATGCCCCTGAAGTGCTGATACATTTGATTAACATATGCAGTGAAGCAAATAAAGGAATTGATCCAAACCTAAGCTTGGAAAATAGTTATTAATGCAGATCAGTTCCCAAGTTTGGACTGTTAAAAATACTTCTGGGTGTGGAGGATGGGAATGCAAGTAGACAGAAGCTGATTGAGCTATACTGAAAGGAAAAGGTCAGGAATGTTGAGGAATATGGAATACTGTTTCATCCAAGTGGCTTAAGAGGAAGCAGTGATCTTTATTATGATCTTTTGAGTTTTTGATGGGAAAGTATTTCTGAATTATTTTGAGCAAGTGTGGAATGTATTTTGTTCTTCTCATGTTAACTGCTCCCCTTAAGGTACCTACATAAAAAATATATCAGTCCATACTTATAAATATCACTTTAAAAGTTATTTTTATGGATAATTTATGTAACTATTCATGTTAGTTACAACTATGTTGCTCCAGAGGCAAAAAGTACATCCTTTCCAGGATGCTAGATAAGTAGCTGAGAAATGGTGCTGAAGTAGCATGAGACTTGATGCTACTGCTGCAGTTCCTGTCTTCAGATGACATTAGAAGAGTTGTTTTGAGCTGCTGCATCTGCAGTGCAGCAAGGAAGGCTAGAGGTGAAAGGACAGAAAATCTATTCTAGAAAACGGTCTGAAAAAAATGCAGATATAGATGACCAAAGGTATGTGAACCGAAAGATAATCAATAGAAAATCGTTCAGCTATGTAGAGAATGGATCCTAAAAGACATATCTTAAGAGTCTAAGATGTATATAGTATATCTGTATGCTTAAGCAGAGGTAAGAAAACAGTATATTCCTGTTCTGCCTTCTAAACCAGGACTGAAGAATTCTATTAGAAAGCTGAAGCTAGTGTTCAGCTTGTTTAGGTTGACTTGGTGTAAGGTATATTTTCTGCTCTTAGGCATCTCCAATTTTGCATGGGGAAAGCATTTAGGGAGATCTAATCAGATTAGTCACATGAGGTTTTGTATGTGCTGAGTATCTTCTCTAAAGACTTACAGTGGAGTTTCATTGTTGTGAATGCTGAGATTTTAAATACTACTTTATCATCTAAGCCCTCTAATACACATAAAAGCGAACAAAGTCTAGGAGTTTGTTTAAACTATTCATGAATAATTAAAAATCATTAATACATACGCTTGTTTCTTTTCCTAAATGACATCCAGAAAACTTTATGTAGTGAAGGTAGTATTAACTGCAGGTGTCATATTCAAAATTGGAGTATTTGCACCTAATTTTGAAGTCAGTTGACTTTCTATTAATTGTATGCATCTATACAACACTTTCTTTACAGTGAACTAACCTTTATGAAATAAGGAAATGGATGGGATGGATGAAACGTCTAAAAGAATCCTAGAGCCGTACCAGTATTTACTTCAACTTCCAGGCAAGTTTTTTAGTACTGTGTTGTTTTGAAATATCAAAATTGTTTTGATAGCAGTTTTTGTCTCAGAAAGTATAAGCCAAGAAGCTTATCCATTCTTTATTTGTAGTTTTAAGTGTAATTAAAAGTAACGCTTTTCAACATTTTTTGATTTCTTCTTGTAAAACCACCCTTTTTGGTGAGATTGGTATAATAGCCCTTGAATGTCTGTTACAGTGTAAGTAGTATTTCAGTTACTCTGTTCTCCATTCAGAATAGCTGACTTGATACTTTTTTAAAATTGATAAGGGCAAGTACTGAGGACTTGATCCCATACTTAAATAACAAAACATTGTCAGCCTTCAGTTTATCTGCTTGCTATACTGGACTCAATGAGTTGTGGTGGTTTTGTGTTGGTTTTTTCTTTGTGGTTTGGTTTTTTTTTTTTAAATAGCCTTTTCTTTTGTGTAATTTCTTCTCCCTGGTTTGTGTAGAGCCAGGCACTCTTACGGCCAGTTTTGACTGTCCCTGGATTGCCTCACTTGCCAGAGGATCAACTAATCTTTGCGTGGTATCAGGTCACTAGCAACACATTCAAATGAAGTTTTTGGTCTTGAACAGCACATATTTTAGCAGAATTCAGGAGGCAGTTTGATAGGGAGCTACTGTATGGATGTGCCTTTCGGAAGCCTCTTTGCTGACTAAACAGCTGGATTGTTTGCTGTGACTTTTACTTGTAAACCTGAAGCGTAAGGAAGACCGTACAAGCTATCAAAGTGACTAACTTTGTAAAAATGGTAGCAGGACTACTTTGTCACTGGGACTGTTGCATGACTGCCTCTGTCCAGCTTATATTGCATGCTAGTGGAGTTGATGAAGATACAAAATATGATAAATATTAAGGAAGATAATTCTGACCAAAACAATATCTGACTGGGATAGAAGACCTTCCGTCTAGACAAGTGGCATGATGGATCACAGTCACAGTACTAAGTGGCTTTTGCACGTTTGCAACAAAACCTGTATATCAGCAGGGTAGATCCTGTGGGTCCTAATTCATTATACCTGTGTATAATTAATTTAATTATTAATAATCTACAAATATCCAGGATTGTCTTATCTACATTAGTGATTTCACTTGACTTGGCAGTTAGTGCAACTTGAGTTGAAAAATCAGAAAAGGAAAGAATTTGGCAGTAGCATGCCTTTTTAATGCCAGAAAGTTCGTTTCCCATTTCCTCACAGTATATTCCATTTGGGTATGTTGATCTAGGTGGTGGTTTTGCTAGAGAACTACCTTGAGAATGAGTCTATGATATTCCAGAGAGCTTTTGAAGAGCTAATCGTGGAGAAATTTGCTTTCCCCCAATACCATCTTTACATGTACTTTTTGTTTGGTTAGATAATCTCATATAACAAAGGTATTATTTTAGCACCTCTGCATCTTTAGCTGCTAATTATTTTTTAAGGTATTATAGGTACTGGCAAAAAACCTCAGCTTCCTAGTAGGAAATATACAACAGACAAAAAGCGCCCATAAAATCTTCCATAGGCAAAAGTGCTTGACTAGTAGCTCTTCAGTTATCTTTCATTTTAAATGATGCATCTAGGACATGCACTTAACCTTCCCACCTTGACTTCTATAGCTAAATTCTGATACTTTGTTGTGAGTTCAGCCCTGATCGCACTATACCAATGGTTTACATGATGGTATACTTACTGACAGTGAAAGCATTTTGTATCCTGTCCTGCTAAAGTATCATAAATCTGATCATCGACTTTAACAGGTTGATCTCTTGTTAATTTAATTTATGTTTTGAAGAAGATGAGATACGAGATACTCTTCTCTCTATGCAGAAATGGTGGCATGATTCAAATGGAAGACTTCTCTTAAACTAGGCAGGTAAAAGCAGTCTACTGGTGGAAAGCTTGTACTGAGTGAAGCAGTGAGGGTTCACAATCATATAGCTGAATGTTTACTGGTTTTGAAACACTGTGGCTCTTCCTGAAGTCAGCTATGCCAAGTACAGATCAGTAGGAGCCAGTTACTTAGGGAAACCTTGGAATTGGTATGAGCACAATGCTTGGTGAGGGGGAGAAATTGGACATATGCTAGCTGTTCATAATTAGGGTGGAGCCCAAATGAGATGCCTGAGCTAATCTAACAAGCTCTGCTGAAAGAGGCAGTTTTATTCCATCCTCTTTATGCTTCTGGCAGTATTCTCCTGTTTCTTAACTTGTGCCAGTTCTCAGCTTCCTGACCAAATGATTAGATAGTATCAATCACCTAACCTGTTGAAAACTTGCCTGGTTAATCTCTTGTCTTGTCAGTGAGCTGGCGCAAGGGTGAGGACAAGGACCTGTTTCTGTGTTGGATCAGCTTGAGCTCTGAGGGCTTTTGCAGAAAGCTTGACTGAGTGTCAAATATGTACACTTATGGCCCTACAATAGTCCAGTTGCTTATCTTTTAAGTCTAGTTAAAAAACAAATTCTCCGGATGGTTTAGTAGCCTGTGAGAACTTGAATGAATTCAGATACATATCAACCTTTTTTATACAAAAAGGGATTGTGTAACAGTATTAAGGTTGTTTGGAAAAAAAATAGGTGCTTGCTAATGTTGTCTGTAGTGTAAGAACACAAATTTTTATGACTGTTAAGGATTAATACCTAAATACAATAGGAAGTTGATTACTCTGCTTCCCACTAATGAAATAGGACTTTTAATGGTAACAGTTTGAGGATGATACTTAAACTAAGGTTGTCTCTTTCTTTGACTTCAGCAGCACTGGGATAGAGAAACTACTAGGCTTAAGATTTTTTTAATGTGTTGCTATTTTAACTGCTGGTATGGTAATTGATATTTATTCCTTCACCAGCAGAACTGAGTGCTTGGGAGATCATACCTTCTGAAACAGGAACTTTTTCTTTTAAAATCTCATGGTAGTAGAACATTGGCATACTAGTTTATAGCAGTATTCTTCTTGATCTAATATTCTGTCCTTTAGTTTTGTAAACAAATTGCAATAAACAGGCTTAACTTTCACAAATTCCAAGGTGGTTTGTCTCAAATGGCCTGATTCACACAGATGATTAATCTTTTCTCTCCAAGTGGCTGAGTTAACAGCAGTAGCTGTTTTTGCAGCACTAAGGAGTATATGGAGTTTCAGTTGCAGTAAAACTGATATAGTCAACAGCTTGCTATGGAAAGAGGTAGATTCTGATCCCATTCATGACTGCATCTGCCCTTTCATGTGCATTGCTGTAATCTTGGCTGCAGTCTTTCCTGGGCTTGTTTGGCAAACTATAAACAATCAAGACTGGCTTTTGTTTTTCAGCTTTTTCTATTGGGTTGTTGAACTTGACCAGCTTGGTGAAGGAGTTAAGTACTACAGGGTATGATCCATGCCACTGGCACAATTACACTTGGCACATCAGAGGCCTCACTTTGGGCCAAGTTCCTGAGGGGAAGCTCTAGCTCTCCAGGTTCTGAGCTGCAGGGATGCCTGAGGGCATCCACTGGCCCAGGAGAAAGTGATATCCCTGACCCTATAGATGTGCAGTGGTGAAAAATGTGGTGTTGCCAAGCAAAGGAGCAGTAGAATGGGGTCAGCAGGCTGTATTTGTGAATGATGATGTTATGCTGGACCTCACACTTAGAAACAAGGAAGAATTGCTTAGAACTTGAGGACTGGGGGCAACCTTGGCTGCAGAGACCATGGGATGGTGACATACAGGATTTTACGAGGAGGGAACAAGGCAAAAATCGGGATCACAACCCTTGCCTAGTTAACCCTATTTTGAACAGGGGAGTTAAACTAGACAATTCTACAGTGACCTTAATCTGTCACAAGTGGCTGCCCAGGTTTAAAAGTGCATGGGCCTGATGTTGCTTGTCTTCCTGCAGTTCACTTGTACTGGCTGTAGTGTTCTTGTAGTTGTATGGGCAGGTCTGCTTGCAGAATTTACCCATTTAGGCCTAATCCATCAGAGGAGAGAGCTAAGCATGAAAATGTACAATATAGCTGAGGTAATGCAGTTAGCTTGCTTCCTCCAGAAGGGCAATGCCCCCTTCCCCTGGCTCTCAGCATCTGCTGCTTACCCTGTACTAAGTCTGGCAGAACCACTTCATAAGCTGACTCAGTACGTAAAGCTGGCAGAAAGCTAACCTAGCAAAAAGTAGACAGTTTTCTGCTGGAGTAATGAGTTGAATTATCTTAGTGAGGCTCTAATGAGGGCTAGGTTAATAGTCCCTCAGCTCTTTCCTGTGCTGTTGTAGCCTTTTTACGTACCCTCACTGTAAGTGGGGTTCTGCCCTGAGGCCGTAGTTTGTGGTCACTTTAATGCAGCAAGAGTGAAGAAATACTAATTAGGAGCCTGTCCAGAGCTGGAGGTCTGTGGGTTTTGGGTCTGTGCATTGTCACAAGAACAATTGTGTGTATAGAGAATAAGTCAGGCTGATTTTTTTTTTTTGAAGAATCTCATCTGTCTAAAGTGGTGGGAGGGATTGTCCTTAGCACATCATCTTTAATCTAACTTGATCTTTGTTTCAAAGATAAGGGGTTTACATTCTTACCTGTAGAAGGAATTTCATCAGAGTGAATCTATGTTCTGAATATTTTTTTCTCGCCTTTTCCACCTAGCATTACTAAGGAGAAAAGTTTTCCGTAGTTGCTGTTTGATTTGGGTAATATTGGGATCTTAAGCAGATTAAACTCCATATATTTAGCATAACTGTGACAAAAGGTTGGTGCAGTGATGTCTATTATTATAGCTCTATACAGTAGGTAGAGCTTCTCATTTTGGAAGTTAGACCTCTACATTCTTCAGTTTCGCAATAGCCTGCTTAGAGTAATTAACAGAGCAGAGACATGTGACAGTGAAGAAACTGGACAGTTCTGCCAGTGTTAAGTTTTACTCCTTTTAATTTTGTCCTAGTGTCCCTGGACTGTTGTGTGGTCTAGTTTGGGGAGAGGAGGGGTGTGGCAAGGAATGAAGGTTTCCACATCCAGGCTCTTGAGACCAGTATTAAAAGGGCTTTTTACCATCGTAGCATGGCTGTAAGCATAGAACATGCATACAGAAAATTGCTGTGATATCACATAGACCAGATAGGATTGACTTCAGAACAAGATAAAATAGCATTTATGTAGCCATAATGTTCCTTTAAAGGGCCTCACACAAGTAAATCTGCACCTATAAAAGAAAAGGTGAATGTTTCAGTATACAGATAGTGTTTTTTTATCTTGAATAGTCAGTGTCTAGACACCCTTGCTAGTCAAGGTAGACAAGTCTAACAATTCAAATGCTGTTGGTACTAAGGAACTGAAGTGGCTAAATCCACTGTGCATACTAATAATCCATTTAGAGTCTGTGCTAGTAGTTTGTCATGATGAAATAACACTTGTTGCTGAACATCCAGCATTCCATAAGCATATTTTCTAGGAAGCGCATTCAGAAAAACAGAATTAGCTGCCTAATGTAAAAAAAGTAGGTGGTGTGTGTATCAATGTAACTTAAAAGTGAATAAAACAGCAGTATGTAAGGTACACTTTCTTAGTGTAAGATTATCTCTGAGTAGTTTTCTTTATGGATGTACTGAAATATTTGTTAATATAATGCTTAACTGGCAAGCCATACAGCTTGGCAGATGTTTTTAACAGTTATTCTCAGTATTTTTGAGCAATCTTTTCTCCTCAGTTAACTCATGCAATTATTTTAAAATAAAATATTGAACCTCTGACGCAGGGCATTTTTGACCTTCTCTTGTGCAGTACTGGTGGTCACAAGCGTGTAGTGAGTTAGATCAGGGAACCAGTCTGGCCAAATCTAATCTAACCACATGGGCAGAAGTGGCAAGGTCGGAGTGTCTGAAGTATTTCAGATCATTAGTGTCTGCAGGAGATTTTGTCAGAAGCAGGTTTAACTTGAATGAGTGGTGATGCTTAGTTAACGTAAGAGTTTTTTTAAACTCTTGGGCACTACTCTAATTTTGTATTTAAATTTGAGCTCTGGTTATCTATGTTAAAATGGTAAACTTCCAAGTCAGTGAATTATTGATTTAAATAGACAGGTTTAAAAAAAAAAAAAAATTAGAACCAGAAACTTACTTTCCTGATAGAGAGCAAGCCTGACATGGTGAGCTTAAAATAGTTGTTCTGCTATTTGAGAGACAAAACAATCCCTCCCTCCTGCAGAAAGCTGTTGGTGTTTAAAGCTGAGCACAGAAAACAAAAATGGAGAACACAAGCCAATGATAATGTATGCCCAGATAAGAGTGCCCTTTCACACAGGACAGAGCCAGAGGACAAAGCTGGAGGAGGGGAAGGGGAAGAAGCATGTTTTCATTAGTCTTCTAATACGAACCAAAAGATGGTGGTGATGGGAAGCAGTGGAAGTCTTTGAGAACGGAGACAAAAATGGAAGCCCTTTGAGCCAGGGAAGAAGGTTATCACCCTTGCTACAGAGCCCATAAAGCTATTGCTTACCTGGTAGTGACTTAATTAGAAAAGAAAAAATCCTCAGTCCAGTGTCTCCAGGGTATATCACTGCAAGTGAATCTACCCATTTTTATTATTCTGTTCTGTATGTGCTGGTCACGCAGCAATAGGAAAGCCTTAGGGAGAGACTCAAATGCTGAAATGTGTTCAGTGCTGTGGGCAAGACGGCATCATCAACAAGAGGACTAATATTGCAGAATCATGAAGTTATGTCTCTCAGTAGATCTTGAAATAAGTAATATGGAACCCACTGTCTAGGTTGCACTGTTCTGAAGGTTATTTAAAACTTTTTCCAAAGGCCTTGTTGATGTGAGCTACATGTGCAGAGCTGTCTTGTGTTTATTTGAAGATCCTATACATAGCCGAGCCTCTTAAAGTTCAGAGCAGCATTGTTTCAGTGTGGGTAGGGAGTGACTTTATTTCACGCTGATCATTAGTAGACACAATAAATATTTGTATGTCATTCCTAGCAATTTATTAAAGAAAGCTGGCAGAAATTCATAGGCACATAGGTTAACTTCTATTAAAATTAACTCTGTCATGTGAAATGTGTCTGGATTAAATAATAATGCTTATTTTAACACTAAACTTGGATTTTTGATCTTGTCTTTCATTCCTGTGAAACAGGGTGACTGCTTGGCTCAATCAAACTAGATTTAGCCAAAGCAGAACAAATCCTGTTATTTTAAGTAGACATCTCGGATATAAGATAAATGTCAGAACTCTTGAAAAGTTCTATTCTGTTCAGAATATTCTGCTCAGGTTTTCACTTAGTTATTTCGTATGTATGTCAAATGTCACTTTCCTGTTTTACAAATTGTGGGTAGCAAGTGAAGAGTACTACAGGAGAAAGACCTAAAAATGGAGATAAACAGATATTCAACAAATATCCATATCTTCAACTAATAGTGAATCATAATTGAAACTTCTTAATTTGTTGCATACACAAAATCAACACGCCTAGCAAACTAGGGCTTACTTTCAGAAGTAGTAAGCTGATCTGTACAGGTTACCATCGTACTCAGGATGACTTGCTAATTACACTGCCAAAACTAAATACGGTAACCTGTAAATATGTGCTTTGTATATTACTGTGAAATGCTTAAAACTGAAGTTGCTGATAATTGTCATGTTTATACAATGAGGAAACAAGCTACACACTTACTAAGAGATATTTCCTGCTTTCAAGTGATCACACTGATCAGCTTAGAGGTCTCAAATCAGCTATAGTTGTTAAGACAAACTGTTTTTCCTAATAATGAATAAGTGATTATTTTTTTATAAATGCCTGTAATATTTTTATTATAGGTAAACAAGTGAGAACCAAGCTGTCACAGGCCTTTAATCACTGGCTGAATGTTCCAGAAGATAAAATACAGGTACTGGCTAATTATTTTTAAAGGGCTATTACCTTTCTTCCAAGACTACCAATAACAGATGATTTTCTTATATAGCATAAACGATCAGACATCCTAAATGCACTGGTTTCTGAATATATTAAAGTAAACTTTCTGGAAAACAACTTTAGTGCAAAGCTTTGACTATGATGTAACACTAAAGAAATTACTTCCATGACTTGTCTTAGGTAGAATAGTTACTTCTTTCCGAGTGTGCCCAACCTTTTGGGCTGTCAATAAGCAGCTACCATTGTTACTTACTTAACATAACTCAGTTATTAACACTGAGTTTTCAATGACTTACGAAAGAAGCTAGACCTTGTAAACTACACAAATATAGTGGTTGAAAATAAAGTCTTATGTTTTGATACAAGAATATCAAAGACAGCACTTAGATCAACTCTATAAACGACTTCTTGTTCTGGATCTAAAACTGTTGTGGTCTTATCATACAGTCTGGAATCCTTACTCCCTGAGGAGAGACATGAGACTAGGAATTCTCCTTTCCTTTTGCTTATGTGTTGGACAAGTCTGTGCAAGAGGTATGGCTGTGTATGACTGCGGCTTGTCAAATGAAAAATTATCCTCTTGGTTAAACTGTAGTTTTGCCAAACAGCATATCAAGGGTGCAAAAGATTCTCTGTATCCAAGACGATGTGAGGAATTAAAATAACCAATTATGGGTTTTGACTCTTTAATTTCATTAATTGGTTTAGGAGTGACCCTTCATAGTCCTCAAGTGACAAAATAGTGTGATTTAAACAGTGAAGGAAGAGGCTGTGTTCATCATCTAGTAACTCTTCTATTTTCCACCCTATCTATATAACTTTTTAGCCAGATCTCTTCGGGCTTCCAGCTAGACACTTCTTCGTACCCATTGTGCTCACCTATGTATCCAAGTGAAATGTACTATATAGTAACCTGTGTATTGTATGCTTGGGTTTAGTCTAATATCATAAATCAGAATTGAAACTGGAAGAAACCTCTGGAAGTTATCTAGGGCTTTCTCCGTAGCTACTTTAGACTTCTGAGGATCTTGCTGAGTTTTGGAAATCTGAGGATGTAGATTCTGTAATCTCTCTGGACCTGTCTTCCTGTGCTGAACCCTTTCCATCATAACAAGCTCTTCCATTCTTTCCAGTTGGGATTTCTTATGCTGCAGTTTGACTGTTGCCTCTTGCCCTTCTGCTGAGCACCTGTCATAGAACAGGTCCATCTTCTCTCATGTGCTATAGTAAACTAAAGCAGCAGTGCCTCTGTGTGAACAGAAGTTACCAGTTCTACCTGTCGCTTTTAAACTGATAATCATGTAATCATTATTGAAAACTTCAAAAACTTGTTCTAGTTATCTTTATAAAAAAAACTGATGCTTTAATGTTTCCTTTACCGCTTAAGCTGTTTGCGATAGAACTTTAATATTTTTATTCTTCAGGTCATTTGAGGACAAAACCAAGACACTAAATTTTTAATCAGCATCCTGCCACAATTATTACTGGTTTTGTGCATAGTTGTACTAATTTTAATAACTTAAAGTTGTTGAGGTCTGCAGGACCACCTCTAATCATCTTTTTGATGTCTCATAATCTTCTTAAGAGGTCCCAGTTGTCTAGCAACCTGATTCCCTTCCAGCTATCTGTATTTATTTTATTAAAAATCTGAATTCTGGCACTCCTTATAGGACACTTTTTAACCTTAGATCGTTTGTCTTCACATAGTTTGCTTAGATGAATACACTTCAGGATACTGTTCCTTGGTAGTCGATTTTTACTATGGCTGCCACCATCTCACTTTTTTCCCAGCCTTGTTTTATTTTATCCGGGTCTTATTTTTTTTTTCCCCATTTACTGCATCTCTGGTACTCATCTGGTGCTGCACTGAGACACTTCAGCTTGTTGAATTAGAGAATTTCAGATGGACTTTTTTCTAGGGAGGCACTGAAATGGCCTAGTACAAGGCCAAGCAGATTTTAAAGCTATTACAGATTTCTACCTCCTTACTTGCGGGTTGGAGTGATAGTGCAGCAGCCACTGATTAGATAGGCTTAGGTCGTAAGAAAGCATAACACTCTGTACTGGTTCTTCAGCTTTCATTATGAAGAGTGATCGTTTCATTTCCTCAGGCTCCTTTCTGATATCTTCTGAAATAAGCTTTTTCTGCTGTCTGAACTCTTTCAGCCTTTGCTTTCAACTCTGAAGCCTTTTTGACACTCTTAAGTTCACAAGATAATTTGAACACATAGAGTCATGAAGCGCTATTTCAATTAAACCTTAAATGTCTATAAGCTGCAAAAGTTCATTAAACTGACAGTGATATGAAATCGGTTAGCAAGAGAAATAGGCTTATCCAAGGAGTTCATAGAATACAGGGAAACTTTCTTGATAGTGCTAAGAATGACATCATGGACTAAAAGAATATTTGAACAAATAGGTATGCAGTGTTGCTTTCAGTAAATAGTCTGTCCTCTGATTTAAAGTCAATGGGCAACAATATATCTTTACAGGTCAAAGTAGACCTCGCTTCTAACTGGTAGATGAGTCATTAGTGCTTAAGTAGGTTGTTCTTGCAGTCATATCTTGGCCAAACAGTTAGATTGCTGGGTCTTGAGTTTTAATCTTTGGGACAGTGGCTGTTGAACGCTAGGTAATGCGACTCGCTGCTCAAGAAAATTCTTGCAGTGAAGTCTCTCTTACATTTTCCTACAGCACCTGCCAAATAGCGGCAAGTACCTAGTACAGGCCTATTTAATGGTAGCCTCAGTATTTTTTGGAAGCAGTTGTTTTGGTGAATGTTGACTGAGTGCAATGTTTGTAGCTAGCGAGTGTAATTGGTTCATTAGCTTTAAAATCATATCTTAATCAGATGTGCTTTGCAATGAGTTTATATATACAGTGTGCAGTTATACATCCTTAAATTTATTTCCATTTAAGGAGATGCTGCTATGCAAGGAACAAGTATATTCAGCTGTTCAATAAAAAGAGTATATAGTGTTAAAACACTATATAAAAAGTTCACTTTTAGTGATGTTCTGAACAGTTTCTTGCATACCTCAGGTGGTGTATGATATCCATCTACCTAGTAATGAGTAGTAAGTGTGTAGGAAGCTTTCCAAAAGAAGCTACAGCTGTTGCCTTTCTGCCAAGAATTTTCCAAATGATGTTTTGGAGAGAATAGTCTGTCCTTTAGGAGCTCATTACTGAAGATAACTACACAAAGTGTGGGTAGAGAAAGGTGAATTCTCTCTACTTATCAAAACAAGGTTTACAAGACAAATATGTTAATGGATGATACCTGAAACTCTCAAGAACTGAGTTTGGGAGATCTCAGGTTAGTGAATCTAAATTTGTCACAACATTGTGTTGCTTTCCTTCTCCTCTGTTCATGTTTATAATAACAAATACTGCATGACTCCTAGACAATGACAAATATTAAACTGTAGCAACAATGAAGAGGGGCATGCAAGTGGAAACACTTCAGGGAGTAATTTCATTTTGAATCTGAAAACATTACACAAAAAACAGACCACGTGACTCAGGACTTACAGCAAACTTGGTTGATGAAGAGAATCATAACTCTGTATTAATAGTAAAAACGAGTAGTCTAAAGGGGAACCTCAGTGATAGAGAATATAATTCTTATATTATCCTAATCCATTTTAAGTAAGGTCTTACAAAACTGGAGGTTAAATTACAGTGGGACACTTAATAATTTTCTCTTCTTGTAATAGGTTATCATTGAAGTGACAGAGATGTTGCACAATGCAAGCCTACTTGTGGATGATATTGAAGATAACTCAAAGCTACGACGAGGCTTTCCAGTGGCACACAGTATCTATGGAATCCCATCTGTAATCAACTGTGCTAATTATGTGTATTTCCTTGGCTTAGAGAAGGTTTTAACCCTTGATCATCCAGATGCTGTTAAAGTTTTTACCCGTCAACTCCTGGAACTCCATAAAGGTCAAGGCTTGGATATTTACTGGAGGGATACTTACACCTGTCCTACAGAAGCTGAATATAAAGCTATGGTACTGCAAAAGACAGGTGGTCTCTTTGGATTAGCTGTAGGCCTCATGCAGCTGTTCTCAAATTATAAAAAAGACTTAAAGCCACTTCTTAACACACTTGGCCTCTTCTTTCAAATAAGAGATGACTATGCCAACTTGCACTCCAAAGAATATAGTGCAAACAAGAGTTTTTGTGAAGACTTAACTGAGGGCAAGTTCTCTTTCCCAACCATTCATGCAATTTGGTCAAGACCTGAAAGTACTCAGGTGCAAAACATTTTACGTCAAAGGACGGAGAACATAGATGTAAAAAAATACTGTGTACATTACCTTGAAAATGTGGGTTCCTTTGAGTATACTCGGAATACATTGAAAGAGCTTGAATGTGAAGCCTATAAACAAATTGAATCACTTGGAGGAAACCCTGAGCTTGTAGCACTAGTTGAACAGCTGAGCAAAATGTTCAAAGAAACTGAAAATTAAATTTAACTCCTGGGGATGGATTAAAGCTTCTTCTAAAATGTGAAAATAACTAGACTATCTAAGAGGTGTGATAATCAGACTTGCTTAATCTTTCCCTTGTACCCATGTTACAGAATTTACTGTTGTAAACAATTTGTCACTGAGTATTGAAATACACACCCTGTTATCTCTGTCTTAACTGTAACTGCTCACAGATGGCTTTGTTAAAGCAGATGTATTAGAACTGAAACAAGTTTTGAATCTAAATGTGATCATCTCTACACAATCATCAGCATTATTTCAGGCCAGAAACTCTCCTGTCTTTCACCAGGCTACTGTAGGTTTCTAGCTGAAATTCTGTGTTAAATTAAATCAGATTGACCTGAGCGTACTGCATGTTTTCAAGCAATGCCTTCGTAAACCAAACTGTGCAGTGTTAAATAACAAAAGATACATGCAATGACAATGCACGTAAAACTCTTGTGTGGTATTTCTGAGTTAGACTTGTGAAGATCAGATGGATCAGCTTACTGAGTTCTAAAGTGAGTATCCTCTCCAGCTTCTGGGGATTGCAGACTATGAGAGGTAGTATTTTATATGCAAATAAGACTAATGTTTAGTCTGAAATTGTAGCTTTGTAAAGATTTCTGAGTACCTTAGAGAAAAAATTCCATCACATCAGCAAAGCATAAATTTGATGCTGATTCCAGGTCTGCAGTGAATAACTTTGATCATCTGGTTCTAGATTTTTAAACTGTCAAATACTTTGTCGCTAGGGACTTAAATTATGCATTAGAGCTCATACATGTAACTGCAAATAGCAACATAGTATGCCGCTACTAGAAATGGAATGGGATTCACACCAGGTAACTTCAGGACACTCTAGTTGGTGCAGGTTTCTTTAATCTCTGCTTATAATTGAGATGGGCTTCTCCAGGAGTTGATTCATAATTCATACTGCATTCCTGTTCTGAATTGCAATCTGGAGGCATGTTATAGGTCTCTCTAAAGAGACAAGTTCTGTAATTTTTTGCTAAAACAAAGTACAGAATCTTGTTCTATGAGCTGTAGTACCACTTCACTTTTGTTAGTCGCTTAAATAGTGCTTTAAAATTATGTACACAGACATACTGAAATAGAACTGGGACTGAGAGCTGGGTTAAGGGGAGAGGGCTGATAAGTGACAAAACCCTCTGCTTGTCTATATATAAACGTATATAAAAAGATGAACAAAATGTAAGCAGTTGTTTGTTTCTTCTTGGCTGGGCTGGCTTTAATCAGATTCAGTTCCCTTAGTCTTCGCAGTCACGTAAAGCTTTGCTTTGGTGTAGGCAGGTAATGGTTTGGATCAAAGGTAGGACTGGTGCTCTCAGTGGTGGTGTTAGCTCAAGCATACTCTCAAAAAAACGGCCAGAGGTACTTGGCTTCTGACAGCTGAAGAGTAGTTTTATGTGGGTGTTCATTTACTATACCTAGGAAGCAGGGAGAGTCATGATCTCAACCCACTGAGAAAACTGACTGAAGAAGGCTGCTGTAATGTCTCTTCCCTGGGCAGCCCTAAGATTCTTCTGAAAGTGATCAAGCATGAGAAAATTCAGGATGACTGCTTTCTCAGAGACATTATGTAGTTATGGATGGTAGCCTGTCCCTTTTATCTGCATGCTGAGGAGGAATCTTTGTCTGCTCTGTGATTAGGCACAGAATAATAGCCTTTTCACTGAATGAACCTGGTCACCGGGACTGAATAGCTTAATGTTGTTGAAAGGTGTATTTTAATGACAGTGAATTATAATTCCTTTTTTATAACTTGCAGTGCTTGGTAGTAAGCCTGCACATTTTTAATGTTTTATGAGAAAATACCATCCACAGCCAAGTACAATGTTTAATTTGTGTACAATGTTTTGGGAGTCTCTAAGCACTGTTGCAGCTGATGTTGACTGGGAAAGAGCACTGGAAAAACTATTGTTGTCAAAAGAGTCTCCTAGTCTTACTACAAGAGATATGTTTGTGCCTATTAGGATATTGTAACTGAGGTGCACAATGCAAAGTGCACTTAGTGCCATTTCATTTCTGCTCTGTTGCTGGATGTAAACAGTTCTGTGTAATCAGACTTTACTAATAAGGTAGCTTTTCTTATTTTTATATAAGACTCCTCTACCATCTGAGACTTCTGCTATGTTGTTACTTCTTTGGTTCATTCTGGCAGCTCACCTCAGTATTTATTTTAACACCATATCTTGTAGAATGTGCCTCCATTAACTTAGGAGAAAGTACATTGGAAGTTTTCCACCTGCAGGGCCTTTAAACCACAAATGGGTAAGAAGGGAAAAGTATCATGGGAAAAGAAAGCTGGACCAACAAGAAACCACACAGCTCTGTCTTACTACTCTGCCTTCAAGGCTTTTGTTACCAGTATTCAAAGTATACCCTGAAGGTATATCTTGAAAGGCCCAGAAGCAGAGTGTTGTTGCTCTTTGCTTTGGTTAGGACGAACCGACATCTCTCAGGGTTTTTCTTGACATATTCAGGAGTTGGAAGAGGCTGGGATCTTTCCCCTTCATCTGTTAAGCAGGTAGAGCATCTTTAAGTATTAGTGTCAAGAGTGATGATTCTCCGTAGTCGAGGTAGATTTTATATTTGGTGCTATTAGATGAGACTGCGTGTCCTCATCAGTATTCTCCAGTATTGGTGCTGGTGTGAGCTCCTGGTGTTAAGCCGTGTTAGGCAAATCACTTCCTTAAAGCAGCATGAGAGTTCTTGTGGCTGCAGAATTAGTTTAGTTGTGTGAGTGCTGTTCTGCTGCTACGCCTCGCACAACACAGGGAGTAGGTTTTTTTTCTGATCTTCACAAGAGATGTGGTGCTGTGGAATGGAAATCTGAGTTACAAGTGGAAATGGCCATGGGAAAGTAAAGGGGATACTGGTTTCAGTGTCAGGCCTTTTGAGCCACAACTGTTCTCCTTATCTTCCTACCATCACCAACAAGTTCTACTTTGATCAGGTTACCAGTGCATTTCTTGGGGGTTTAGCTCTTGCAGTGCATGTAAAGAGAAACGCAAACTCATCAGTCTCCAGCATTTCCCTCTACCTCAGTCTGTTTGCTGATCGTGTACTTGCTTGAATGTAAATGAGTGCTGCCACTTGTCTTGGAGTGGCTGGCCATTGGATAGGACACCTGTTCCTGCTTCTTCGAAGGCTGATGTTATTCCCATCAATTGTAGTGAGAATTGCATCATTTCAGGACTTTGCTGAGGAGAGAACTTGTCTTCCACCTCTCCCGTTGCACTCAGGCTGTTCAAGCACCCTCTAAGAGCAACTTTGTATGTGTCAGCCGGTTATTGATACAGACAGCCTAAAATGTTGGTAGCAGTGGGAAAGTAGCTGCTGATATTTCTTTATGCCTTCAACTTTATGGTACATTTTGCTAAATATGAGTTATCTAAATGTCTCCATGTGCTATGGAAATTTCCTATATTAATTACTTCTTTCCCCAGTTATTGTTAAAATGCTAACATGGTATAAAAACATGGGATTTGTGGTTTTTTTCCCCACCTTCTTATATGAAACTGGTTTGAACCCTAATGTGTCTTTAGCACTGAATTGGGCCAGGCTTTTATCGATGTGCAAGAGCTATATAGGTGTCTATAGCTCCTCTTCGTTCTGTCTTAATCTTATCATTTTATGTTTCAGTTTTTGATATTTACTGTGTTCTTTGTATTATTTACTCAGTACTTCCATTGTAATTCTTTTCTCAGCTATGTTTCTGTTCTGCTACTAATACCATAGCACGCACAATACCACCAAACTTGGGTTTGATCCCAGACAAACAAAATAGTCTGGGTCTGCTTTTGAAATATTAAATCTTGGCTCATCATATGCCTTCACAAAAATAATCCCAAGATTTCCTGCAGTCTTGAAATGCCAGAAACAGTTTTCTAAAAAGCTAAAGCCTGTAACATATTGTTATAAATTATTTTTGTCTCATATAGCTTGAGCTCTTTTCCCTCTGCTACCTATTTGCTTTCAACACCTATTTTGCTTTGGTGGTGAAGCTGTTAGGCCTTTCTGTGAAACAACTTAACTCACTACGCCTGGGGGAGAAGAGTTAATTTTTGTCTGGGTTAATGAATTATTCCACTCAGCAAGAGCCTGATGAATGTCAGAGCTGGCAGGTGGAGAGAGGCAAGAGCAGAGCTACGGAAAGGACTTGAGAGAATAAGAAAACATATTTCAGGCTCCTGAGGCTGCCTCATGTCATTTCACCTCATTTTACAGCATCTCCTCTGCTTTGTTAGGAAAGGCTAAAGAGTGTGGTTAGCTTCCCTGAGCTTCTCTTCTTGCTTTCCAAACAGAATGTAAAAGATAACTCAAGCTAAATATTATTTATTCTGATAGGTATATAAATAACTTGTATATATCATCTTAAGGTTTTGATTAAAGGTACAGATAAAACAAAGAGTACATTGTTTCATTACTGTATTTATCTTCAACAATTTTTCTATTCTTGTAACCAGGGGAACATAATCTGCTATATTTAATCTCATACATAATGATAATAATTTATATAATCTCTCAGTTCACTACAGCATAGACAACTGAGAGATAACTGCAAAACCTGACATGAATTTGTGTGGAGGACTAACTCTAATGTGAAGGGAAATCATAATTTTCTGCTTTTGAACTCCAAAACAATCCATGAAAATACTCTCTACTCTGTCAGTATATGAATTATATGCTGTCAGTAAGCAGTTGCATCTTTTCTTGATTGCAGGAGATTATTTTCACTCTCTTCATGTGGCTTCAGTCGTTATTTCTGGAGCACACGGTGTAAGTTACTTAATCACTGAGTAAAGTCATTACTGAAGTCTGTAGAAAGGAAAAATGGCAAAGGCATACATTTCTGGTTATGCTGTCTTGAAACACACATAAAACTGCCCTGTTCTTTTGCTGTAATCTAGTGTATGTTATTCTGCAGTGAACTTCTGTTAGCTGAGGCAGGCATAACTACTTTTCACCAACTTCAGTTATTGAAATCAGGCTGACACCAAGGCCATGTGAACGAATTAAAAGGGAGGGGGAAAAAAAAAAGCATTTGCAAGGAAAAAAACACAATGTTCTTTAAAAATAGAATTTCAGATAATTACAGAGTTAGTTCCACATTTCATGTATTAACTCCTACAGTTTTTCTGGGGCTTTAACTAAAGAACCTATTGCTACTTATGCTCTTGTTTTTAGGGGTGGGATGCGCTGTGCAGGTCAAAGTTAAAAGCTGTGTGGAGGAATTGTCATTGCTATCC